TACTACAGTGTTTTGTGATAACAGTTCGACTATTAAACTTTCAAAAAATTCAGTTATGCATGGACGAAGCAAACACATAGATGTGCATTTCCATTTTCTAAGAGATCTTGTTAAAGATGGAGCCATTGAGCTAGTTCATTGTGGGACGGAGGATCAAGTAGCTGATGTGATGACTAAACCTTTAAAGTTGGATACTTTTCTGAGACTTCGTGAAATGCTGGAAGTGTGTGAAGTGCCAGAAAAACAAATTGTTTAAAAGTAGTTAGTTTAAGGGAGGGAATGATAAGTAGGTGCTTATTTGTAGGAGTTTTATTGGTAGAATAAGTCTCTAGGAGTTCAATTGGTAGAATAAGTCTCTAGTTGATAGAGTTGTTAGCTATTTTTTCTCAATTCAATTAGGTCTCATGTAAAGGCTATTAAAGTCAAGTTCTGTTGAATGAATAATACAAGTCATTCCTCCATTTTTCATTTGTGTTCTTGATCAAACTATTCTAGTTCACAACAATGTCTACTTGATTAGACTATTTTTGGCTCAACTAAAGGCAACCAAATTGTCCTGTTTGATTATTATCACGTACTTTATGTCACATGTCCGTATTAAATAGTCTAATCATACATATGAAGATTTTGAAGCTTTCAATTTGTATTGTCAACTTTGATTTTTTTTCAATCTAGCAAACGTCTCTTCGATTAACTACGTAATTAACATATTAATGAACATACATTTAAACTTCTTTATTTACTTTATGGAAATATCTCTATAAATAGCGTATTAAAAAATCATAACAATAACACCAAAAATAATGGATTAGTCAATGGAGCAAAGAACACAGATTAACATACACATACTTACAAGTTTCCTCAACAAAGCACACACCAAAGAAGATTGCATGCAAAAAGATATCGACGAATAATATACAATATCATTTAGGTACATTATACAAATATATACGCCCATGAGATATGTACATCAATATTTAATTAAAAAAAATATACATATATGTCGTTGCAGGTATACAAGTATATAAAACCAAACACAATTCAAAATTATGTAAATTATAACGAACATGTACCTAAACTTAGAAACGAATATCTAAAACTTAACTGATACGATCTAATTTATGGATCTACCAAATCAATGCTTAAGATAAATGACCGTATATTCTAAATTGCTTGGTTCACGAATTTAAAATTCAAAACTAATAGACAATGCTATAAAATCCTCAATAACAAATGCAAAAAAAAAGAAAAAAAAAAAGAAGAAGAGGAAACTAACTATATTTTTATGTTGAAATTATGTGATGAGGGTAAAATGTGTAATGAAAACATACTAACTGTCTAACTCCTATACGTTCGCGCTTACACAGAGACCGTATTTAATTTTTTTTAAATTGAAAGACTTTTTTAAATATTAAAAGTCCGATAAAACTAAAATTAATTTACATACCAAATGAGGAACCCTAGCCTAATTAACTAAAAAAAGGTTAACAATGTCTATGTTTAATTTAGGAGCTACAGGAAAAAAAACATTATGCAATTTAATTTTTCGTGCTCTAAATTATTATAATTAATGGAAGAAGAATGAAAGGAAAGTGGCAAGCATATGGGTCATTGTTTTCACTTCACGTGTGAACCCCAAAGTGGTCCATGAGATTGTTGGTCATGGTTATTTACATCGAGAAAAGCAATAATATATTTATAAAAAAAACTTATAAAATGGTTACATCACTCATTCAACCATCTATATTTAATAGTATAATTGTAAACATACTCAACAAGTATACTTTGTGATATATGTTATGTGGGTATGAGATTTCGTATATGTATATAATCTGAAAAAAAAAATAAACAAATGGTACATGTATTATATATGGTACAGGTTATGAGTCAAGTATTACCATCATACTTAATGGCTAAAATAATAAGTTGTTTTGTTGCACCTGTAGGATTATTCAGTATTTTATTAATCTATATTATATATGTAAATAAGTGTATCATAAGTGTATCAAAAATCTAGTCGCGTCTCATCTTTTGGAGACCGGAATGGGGCGTGTCATTACCACCACCATCACCAACACTACCATTATCGTTGTCGCTACTGTCGTCATCCCACCGCCACCACCACCACTCACCATAATTTTTATCTCATTCTTATATTTATTACCATTATCACCATCGCCTACCATTAACACCCACCACTATCATTGTTGCTAACCACCACCTATCGCCGCCCACTATCACAATCCACCACCACCCATCATCGTCGCCAGTCAGTGTCACCCACCCCTATCAAACTTATCACCAATCGTCATCGCCCACTACTGTTGCCACCTACTGTCATTCACCCCCACCATCTCTGTCAACCACCATTGTCGTCACCCACAAACCACCATCGTCATCACCCATAATTGTCACTACTAACATCGTTACAAAAAATCCACTCCTAGCATCACCATTGTCACCCATGACTATCATCATCACCACGGTCGTCACCACTTATCACAACCATCATCGTCTCTCATCACCTCCACTACCTTTGTTCACTCCCACTACAACCGGTGTTTAAATTCTTTTCTTTACTCTATATTTATAATTTGATTTTAAGTGTATATATAAATATATTTATTATTAACTTTTTTTTATTATTCTGTATCTTTAAACACAAAAAATAACTAATCTTTTAATATTGGGCCACATATTTTGAAATGAATAATGAAATTGAATACATACAAGTGAGGAAGATATGATGGGGGGATCCAAATCCTTCTACATATTTTTAAGAGTTATCTGTCAATCTGATTCCACTGTCACAGTTCCCTAAAAGATGACCAGCAATAAATTACACTAATTAATCCCCCCTAAATACACCCAAATTTTGCCAACGCATCGTCTCATGTGCAACAACTCTCCACCAAAAACGGCGCCGTTGCTCTTTCACTTCCCAATGAGTCAATGACAATTGTTTCCCTGAAGCTCGAGGCCTAATTCAAACGGTGAAGGAACCGTAAACGCAAGCGTCATAAGTTTAAATTTTAATAATTTTTGGAGTCAAGTTATAAAAAATTTATATTTTATAAATATTTTAATTTTAACGTGAATGATCTATTTTTGATCGAATTAAAAAATTAATTAGTCGAGATATGTGTAAATTTTTTTGAACACCTCTCACAATTGAAAAAAAAAAAATAAGTTTTTTTTTCTTTACTTGGAGCTTCTATTGTATTTTCCAAATATTGTTGTGTCAAATGTTTATTTAGTTAATTATGTAGATTAATATAATATTTAATGGAGAAATAGTAAGAGATTCACCACAAAATAAGACCTCTCAAAAAAAAAATAGAGTAAATAATGAAGGAACAAAATTCATACCATTTATTTTTGCTCAAATAAAATGGAACTTTCACATATTGAGCAAAACTAGAAGTTAAATTGGACACAAGTGAAATTGAAAGTATCATGTTTATTTAACATTATTTAATTTTAATTTTATCTAAATTTTTTTTTGTCTAGCATTATCTTTAATGGAGTTTGCATCAATTAATTAATCAAAAAAGTTAAAAGTGTAAAAAAAATTATATTTTTATTTATGATTAATGATTACAACCAAATTAAATAAGAGTGGTAATTTATGACACTAATAAAAATAGATACGAAAATTAGTAAGTTATGGTTGATCATTTTTCTACACAAACTTATAATCTCTTAACATGAATAATAAATGAATAGAATGAATAGAGTTAGTGTCAAACTCGAATAATACAAAATTGACATGCCTAACACGTTTAACTAATATTATAGAAATAAAATATTATTTTTTTTTGTTATTTTTACCAAGTATTGACATAATTTTTATTTAAAAAAAATATATGTTTTTACTCATTTTTGTTTCTATATTTATTAAATTAATTTTTAGTATATAAAAAAAGTATGAGTGTGCATTCAATTAAGTAATAATAAAATTTTAGACTTAAATTTTGATGTTAAATTTTTTATTTATGAATTACATAGGTTAACAAGAATACAACACAGAAATAAAAAAAAAAATGATACGATTAATTTAGAATTAATTAGTATTGAACAAAAACTGATAAATAACACGATATAAACTCGCTGAATACGATACATACGATACGATTGTAACATTTAAAATTAAGTCAAAATAATACCTAGTAAATATTGTTTGATAACAAAAATGGTTTGAAAAAAAACAATATTATTAAAAAAAAAGTTCAAAACTCATGATTTGGGTTGATGGGTTGTATCAATAATGGCTAATCCTATCTATAACCCATAACTGATGCCTTCGCCAACAACAGTTTTATTTGTTTTGCCAAAAATCTCATTAAAGACCTTCACGTTTATTTGAAACATTTCCATGTTAATCTAGTCATGTCCGTTGAAAACATGAGTTTACCAAAACACCCTCCTTACATATATATCTGCTAACTATAGAGTATTGACCCAAAAATCTAAAGGGAGTGTCGTAAATTGTAGGCTTGTCCCCGGGGCATTATGGTCAGAATAATTCGTCTACAGCATTATGGCACTCTGCCCAACGACAACATTGCCTCTGTACTGCCGATTATTGTTGTCTTCCTCTCTACCCCCACCGTAGAGTTAAAACATTGGGGAGAGAGACAGAGAGAGGAAGGGAGTAGAAGTGATTGAAGTTTCCGCGGTTCGAGGGTTTTTTTTTTTTTCTGAAAACTGAGGGGCTGTTGATGAAGTTGCGGACAAAAAAGAGGTAGAGGAAAGAGCGTGGGTGATTTTACATTATCTCTGTGACGGTACAGTCTTCCATTGATGCAAAGCTTCTGTGCTCAAAGACACGCTTCTTTTGTCAAAGTTGGAAAGATAAAGCATAAGATTTGAACTTTCTCTTCTTTTTGGTTTCCGAATCCACTTTGAATCGGCGAAAGAAAACTACACCAGGAGAAAAACCCAGATGGAACTTGGTTGAAATCTAATAAAAATAAGAGTTTTAGAGAGAGAGGGTGAAGATGGGTTGTTGTTATTCAAGAATAGAGAGAGAAGAGATGGTCTCAAGATGCAAATCCAGAAAGAGGTACATGAAACAGTTTGTGAAAGCAAGACAAGTCTTCTCTGCTTCACACAGTATGTACATTAGATCACTTCGAAGTACAGGCTCAGCTTTGCTTCAGTTCGCCACCGGCGAAACCACCCTCCACCACCCCCACACCCACAACCACAATCACCACCACCTGCCACCATTCCTCCCATCACCGCCACCCCTACCCCCAACACCACCACCACCAATGAGCCCCACCACTGACACCTGGACCACATCCACCGCCACCTCCTCCGCCCTTCCTCCGCCGCCTCCTCCTCCGCCGCCGCCACCATCATCAAGCTGGGATTTCTGGGACCCATTTGTGCCATCTTCGTCCAGATCAGTGAATGAGGAAGAATGGGAAGCGACTACCATCGCCTCGGAGGTGGCCGTCACTACAACCGTTGGGACGACGGCAAGCGTGGCGGCTCCGCCGTCTGCGATTAGCCGATTTTCTAAGGAAACTACAACTACTGAGCTTGCTGTGGTGGTCTCTACCAAATCTAAAGACCTTACTGAGATCATCAAAGAGCTTGATGAGTACTTTCTCAGCGCAGCTGATGCTGGTAGCCAAGTCTCATTGCTCTTAGAAGTCCCTACTTGTGGATTTTCCGCTCAAAGATCTTCTTCCGGTAATGTCATATATATACGTATAGATCGATTGTGTTCCTTGTATTATAAATTGATTTGATAATTTTGATTGTTTTGGGTGCAGGTAAGGTATATGGGTATGGGAAAAATTTGAGTCCTTTGTTAAGGACATGGGGTTCGAGTCCCAAGTGGAATAACGGGTTTGGAAAATTGGGTGAAGAAGTGGCTGTGGGTAATTTAGCCCTTGGGGGTGTCACTAGTAGCAGTCACTGTTCTACTGTGGAGAGGTTTTATGCTTGGGAGAAAAAACTGTACACGGAGGTCAAGGTACTACCACCTCTCTCTCTCTCTCTCTCTCTCGGATGAGGTTAGAGCATCTCCGACTAACTCTCTATTTCTTCTCTTATAGCTATTATAGTTATTGTATCCGGTCAAACACATAAAATTATCTTAAACTCACTCTTTATTCTACTCTCTATTTCTTGGCTCACTATATGTGACGAGCCATTTAAACTTTCTAAATTCAATCTATCTTTTTTTTCTCATATGTTTTATTTCTTTTAAATTATTAAAAATTAGTAAAAATTGAGTGTAATAGTTAATTAAAATAGAGAACGTGATTAGAGTAAATTTTAAAAATGAATAATTAAAATAAAAAATATAATATTTAAATATATTTTGAATAATTATTTTATTAAGTGGACGGAGATGCTCTTATGCGGTTCTTAGCCAAGGTTGGGTTCACCTTTCAAATGAAAATTTTTTTCCACGGCTTTTACTTGTTTAGTTATGTAAACTTGAATTGATAGGACATCGTTTTGCTTTCTTTGTACTTTCTTCTCCTTTTGGGGCCCAAGTATATGATTTTAAAGTTCGGAACTGTATAGTTTTCAATTGAGTCAAAAAGTGGGTAATTAATTCAGACTAATAAGAATTAGTTCATCTGTAAATTTCAGATTATTAATCAATGATATATTTCTTCTTCTTTTTTTTTTATAAAGAATGCTGAGACTTTGAAGATGGAGCATGAGAAACGGGCAGCCCAGTTGAGGAAGCTAGAGATGAGGAGGGCTGAGTATGTTAAGACTGAGAAAGCCAAAAAAGAGGTTGAGAAGCTGGAATCAAGGATGATGGTTGCTTCTCAGGCCATTGAGACTACCTCTGCTGAAATCATCAAATTGAGGGAGTCAGAGCTCTACCCACAACTTTCTGAGCTTGTTAAAGGGTTTCTCTCTCTCTCTCTCTCTCTCTCTCTCACACACTCCCTCTACTAGAGCTCTAATTTTTCTTGTTCCTGCTGATTTTCTATTCACATAGATTAGAACATTCAAGAGAAAATGAGCTATAAACATGTTAGTCCTCTGCTCCCATGCCATCCATAACAAAATAAGTTACTTTTTGTCCTAAAGAGTAGGGCTCCTAATCGAGACGCGTTATTTGAGTTTGACTCGTGTTTGTCTTGTATATGATTCAACTTGTTTTTTAAACTAAAATAAAAAGGTCAAACTTATACAATTTTTTAGGCTTATTTAAAAAATAAGTTTAAAAAATTTGGCTCGAACTCGGACTCGAGTCAAATTTAGTTCGGTTCAGGCTTGACTTGTTTTTTAACGAGTCAAACTTGAACAATTTTTTAAAAGCTCACTTCGAACTTAACACGACACTCGGTTCGATTATAAATCCTATTAAAAAGTGAATAAAATTATAAAATCTGTATTTTGATAGGAAAAGCTCACTTTACTCCTCTCTACCATACTTTTTTTTGGGTCAAGCTACCATACTTGGTATTTTCCCTTTTATTGGATGGTACCCATAAAAACCGACTGGGGTGAGTGTCTCGTTGAAATGATAGAGGTACTTGGTCAGCAGGGTCAAACTCAGCTATAATAATATCTTCAGGTCAAGAGATACAGCAGTACTAGTACTGTGTGGGTTGGTGCTTTTGAGTTTTGACTACTTTGTCTCTTTGGAGCGGCCCACATCAAGGACAGGTCTTTCTTTTTTGGTTTAGAAGTGTTCAATATACACCGAAGTTTTACTATTATATATATATATATATATATATACTGCCTGTCATGAAGGTACACAATAATAAAAAATAATAGATATATTTATATTTATATCCAAAATTAAATTACAAATATATAAAAAAGATAAAAGAATTTAAGCATCAATTTTTAGTGGGGGTGAGAGGTGGTGGACAGCAGTAGTGATAGGAGACGGTGATGGTTGTGGTGGGTGGCAATGACTGTGGTGGCGAGGGCGGCGGCGATGGTGGTGGGGGTGGCGGTGGTGACAGCGGCGGTGGTGGTGGTGGTGGCGACGACGGCGGCAGTGATGGTGGTGATGGCGGCGGTTTCAAACACTATTTTTTTTTTAAATATTTATAAGAAGTAATTTTTAAAAGTACTTTTAAATAGTCACTACAAACACACTCTTAGGGACATATTTTTTCTATAAAATTTAAGGTGTTAATATTAACCGTTAGATTAACTTTAAAATAAAATGTAAAGCGATCTCAACTACGAATAGGAAAAATTATTTTGTTTATCTTTTGAGATTGGAATTGTAAACTATTTTATTATATTGATATACTTAGTTATTGTCTGTGCCTGAAGGCACAGAGTAATAAAAAATGGTAAATAATAAACATATTTGTATTCATATCCAATATCAAATCACAAACATAGAGGAGAGATAAATAAATTTAAGTATCGGTTGTAGTTGGGGTGAGAGGTGGTGGGCGACAGTGGTGATGGTTGTGGTGGGTGGTAATGACCGTGGTGACGGCGGCGATAGTGGTGGTGGCGGCGGCGGCGACAACGATGGTGGTGGCGGTGGCAGTGGCGATGATGGTGACGGCGATGGCACCAGTGGCGGCGACAGAGGGGGTGGTGATAGAGGTAGTGATGGGACGGTTTCAAATACTATTTTTTTTTAAAATACATATGAGAAATAATTTATAAAAGTACTTTTAAAAAGTCACTCTAAACTAGTGTTTTAAATTCCAGCCCGGACATTAACCCTGTAAAGAGACGGGGTCAATGGGTTACTGGTTCAACCGTTGGGTCACTGTTTAAACTGGTTATATAATAAAAAAATAAAAAATATTTATTAATAATAGAAATTATTCTCAATTCACCCTTTTTTTTTAGGCGAAATATTATCAATTCACCCTCACAACATCAATAATCTAGTTTCTCCATAATTGAAAAAAAATTCACTCCACACAAAAAACCTGTTTTTTATTTCCAATTCTAACTTCTCCATTCAAATCCACAAAGATTGACCCGATCAAACACAGGTAGTAATCTCAATATCAATCTACTAAAATGGAACGTCAAAAATAAATCAAATAAAACACAAAGAGGGGATTTCAGATATAGAACAAATCAACACAAAACAAAAAAAAAAGTTCACCAAAGAAAAGTTGTTGGTGATGTTGCTTTCTCCACCATAAAACAATAGTCAGTGAAAGAATTGAAAGTTCAAAATCTAAGATAGACTAGCAATATTTGTTTGTAGGTAATGACAATTGTAATATGACTCGATGAGTAGTGTACCTGCTGAGTGAAGCAAATCGCCAAGGAAGTTAAGCAAATCAACTCCTGTCCTGCCTTCGTTCGACACTTCGACTACGAGAGAGAGGGAGGGGGTTGATTCATTTAACAACTTGATTGAGAAAGAGACTGTTTCTTTCTAGATTGACTGAACGAGAGGCTGACGTTTAACAGTGAAGGTGAGAAAGGGAGGCTGATTGTTTGACGATGAGGGTGAGAGAAAGAAAGAGAAAGAGAGAGGTTGAGATTCGTCGGACTCAACACTGGAAAGAGAAATAAACATACAGACAATTAGGTTTTGGGAAAAAATGCCCAAAAGGGCTAGTTTTTATACCCTTTAAACTGACTCGCCCGGGTTGTTGTAAATCGTCCAGTAGCGGGTTTTCACCGGGTTGTTTGCTCAAACGATCCAATAGTTTACCCGGCCCGGTTTAGTGACCGGTTTACCGGGTCAACCTGCCAGGCCGGGCCGGGTTTTAAAACACTGCTCTAAACACACCCTTAGGGGTCTATTTTTTCTATTAAATTTTGTGTGTTAATATTAACTATTAGATTAACTTTAAAGTAAAACTTAAAACGATCTGATCCGCGAAAAATTAAAGTCATTTTGTTTATCTTTTAAAATTTGAATTGTAAACTACTTTATTATATAGATATATTAGCAATTGCCCGTGCCTGAAGGCATTATATAACACAATAAAATCACCAGAATAAAAAATTAAATCCACAAAAATTAGCAAATGAAAAAAAATATAAAAAATCATAACACTCACAAATACTACCATAGCATCAAATTGACTATCATGTCAATATTTTCAACCCTATTAAATTCTCACATAATAACTTAATACTCACAACAATGAAATAAAACATTGCACCTTAAATGGAATTACATTACAATGAAAATTAAAAGCCAAATTATGCTAGATTGATTGGATTAGCGCAACTACCACCTCAAATATTGCCTTGAATTGCTCGGTAATTGTACTCTTGCACTTCGTTTGTCTTAGAGTCCATTACTTTTCAGTCTTGGAGAAATTCAAACAACTTGAATCATGGAAATAAGCAAATAGATGAGGTGCCAATCTTGGAGGAAAATAAACTTGAATCAGGAAAATGAGCAGGTGGCGATAATGAAAGAGAAAATCAACTAAAATAACCTCTCCTCATAGTCATCCAACCCATCCCTCAATTAGCATGAGAGCAGTGACTTCTGCTGCTTAATTGATGCCCCAAAAAAACCCTTTGGACAGTGAAAACAAACCATGTCTTCATAAAGATATGAGAGGAAATTCTACCAATCCACTCCTTGATTAGTTCTACTTTCAAACAAAAATTATGCGCCTAATATTAAAGATTTGATGAGATTGTGTGCTTGAAAACCTGTTGCCAACTCACTTACCAAAGTAAGCGTAGACTTTCTCCATTGAGGTACCACCAACTCAACTAATAAAACACACACACACAAAACTAAAAAAGTATAAAGACATGCAAAACAAAACAACTAAGTAGAGAATTTTAGGTTAAGTAAATTGGATAGCCTTGAGAAGAATTGAAAGACAAAGACCTCAAAAGAAAGAGAGATAAAAAAGATCATCAGTTCAATTGCATAAATTCACAACCAATCCAACGCATAAACTCATCATTACGAAATTCACAAACCAAATACACCCAAATTTACAAAACAATAAAAAAATTAGATCAAATCAAAATTTTCAGACACATGCTTAATTGGTGGCACTCTCCTCACCACATGCTTCAACATCAAAATCAAGTTTAACTATATTTCTACAACAACTTCAAATAGAATCATCAAAAATCAAGTTGAAGTAATTAAGAAAACCTCAATTATACATTGTACAACCTCGCCAAATTGTTAAGAGTTGCACATATTGAAGTGCACAATAGCCATTATTGTTGGCCTGACATAGAGAAACACCTTTTCTTTGACAAATTTTCACAATTCAAAGAGAAATCTTTTGTCTTCAGACCATCTATATAGCCCCAATCAGCCGATCCAACAGTCCAAGCGTCGAATGCATATCACCAAAACATACCTACATAGGCCATTACATATAAAAAAAAAAGAGTAAACAACAAAAGAGCAAGGCACCAAAAAATGATTAAAGATTTTCATGCTCAAACAAACACTTAATTTATAACTCAATAGATTAAATTCCACAACAAAACACACGCACACACATACACTCAAATTACAACAAATCCCAACTATAAGAGTAAGGCAGTCCATCACAAACAATTGTCAACAACCAATGAACCAACTCAAAAAATTAATTATAATCCAAAATAAGCCAACAACATAGCTTATTTATAAACACCTGATATGAACATCAGCATCTGCAGAAACACCTGTAGAAAGACACAATTCTAAGGAAAAACATTTGTGGACGTACATGTATATAAAATCATATGCATGTACATACATAAGTTGTCAATTTATCATTAACATATAAACCATACAACTAATTAGAAATATTACATATTTTCAATAGAACAAACTGATACTTAATCATACCATTAACAAATTGGTTCTTAATCAACTAATTGTTTCTATACAAATAAATCCACTAAATATAAACCAAAAAAGGAACCTAGAAATACACACCCTTTTTCTGGTGAAAAATTTGGCCGCACCTATTACTCATCCTTAAATGCAAGAAGAAACCTAGACATTGTGTAGTATCAAAAGTTCAAAGAAGATTAGGTTTTGTTCCCAACCTGGTAGTAAAAAAAAAACCCATAATGCAATAAACAGAATATGTAGAGATAAAACTTACCATAGAGATGTATTCTTCAATTTGAGATTCAACCTGTTTCATAAAAATAAAAAAAGTTATCAGATCATATGTACAATATCAAGATCTTGCATAACATATAATTCCTTAACTTAAACACAGGAAAGGGTATAGACAATTTTTCAAATAAAATAAAATAGCTCTAATATTCCCAAAAATTAAAATAAACATCAAAAATTAGAACCCAATTGGCATTCCAAACATTCGAAATGCAATGCCTGCGGGAAAAAAAAACGAAACCATAAGAGAGTGTAGAGACCCAAAATAATATGCATAAATCAAAGTTGACAAAATCAAAAAAAAAATATCAATGAATCAAACAATCCAACTGGATGGGTGGGTGTGTTGTGTGTTAGCAGAGACTGGAGGTGTATTTGTGTGTGCTGTGAGGTATTCTGAGTGTGAGGGGTTGGAGAATAGAAAGATGTTAGGGGATTTGGGTGTGAAGAGAGATGCCTTCATTGTCTTGGTTTTAGGTGTGGGTGGGTGGGTGTGTGTGTTGGGGGGGGGGGGGAAACAGAGATAGGACATACCTTGTCGCTGGTGGATTCATCTGTGGTGGATCGTTCGTCATTGATGGTGGCTCCCTTCATTGTTGCTGGTCTGGGTAGAATGAGAAAAAATGGCGAAGAGAGATTCGAGAGGTAAGAGAGAGGAAGAGAATTGGCATAGAGAAGAAAAGAGAAGAAAAATGGTGAGGGTTTACTGATTTTTGGGTGATTGAGATGGATTCCATGCGAGAGATTTTGGGATGAGTTTGGAAGGCAGGAATTTCGAAGAAAAGAGAGAGAGAGAGGCATGAGTCAGGAAAATTAGGCTTGATCGGTGACAATAAAGGGATGAGAAAAAGAGATTTGGGGAAAGTTAAAAGCCGGATAGTGTAAAAAGAAAACGTTGTTGGGCGGAAAAATAAAATTCAGTATTCACTGTAGACTGTCGGATCAGTATTTATGAGATGATCTGAACCGTCTTTTATGTTGGGATTACGTTATCCGTTGGATGTGTTTATGTTTTGTCTTAAAACGATCTAAACATCTTTTTGTCTTTTGGATTCAAATTTCGTTCTACTTTATTATATAGATATAGAGAGAGTGTAACACGATTATAAAAACTCTGCATCATAGCGTCTGATGGAAATTTTTTACGTGATCTAACGGGCACTAAATAAAGATTCTCAAAATTAATTATCAAGATTTATCAAAATTAGCTCTTCACCAATTAAGAAATATCAATCACATATTAATTATGATTCTAGTCCTATAAGGAAAGTCAAATTAATTCTTTTAAAATTAATAAATACATGTTTTAACCTTTAAATCTTTTATTCTAATCAACCCATTTATACTTTAAAAAATAACAACTTTAATGGCAAAATTAGATTAAAATTAGGTTTGCTTATCAAAATCCATTGCTGGGATTTTTTTAATGTGAAACCCAAAATGTGATTGATCTGTTCATGCTCTAGTTCAAAATAAAATAAAAATTGTTCCTGCTGCAAATTGAACCCAAAAAAATATAAAAAAAAACATAGTGTGGGATTATCTTGTTGTACAATCTGTGTACTAAAACAATAATGAAGTTGAAATTTCCCATGTAATCAACAAAGGGATTATCCACAATCTTCTTAGTGATATGTTTCATTAGAGCTATTAAAAAAAGAAAACAGGTAATATTACTAAACTTGATATCTCTTGTTCAGGTAAATCAATAACTTCTAAAGTTTATACTTTGGAACATTTAGTGTTTTATACCTAACAATAGCAGGTCATTGATATTAGTTACAAATATATTTGTCTTTTTTAACCCAAATGGGTAAAATAAATCAGATGGATAACATAAATATATATGAGATAAAAAACCATCTAATTTATTGGGTTTTAGCCAATTGACAATGTATAATAAGTGTCAAAATTTTTAATTATCTTTAAGAGATTTTCTAATAGTACTAGGATCACAATTAATATGTGATTGACATTTCCTATTTAATTAGGTTTAAATTTGGAAAGTCTTGATAATTAATTTTGAGCATTTCTGTCTAATGGCCATTAGATTACAATCTAATGATTTATATTAAAGGTACCCACCAGACGCTATGATGTAGAGCTTCTATGATCGCATTAGTGTCTATCTATATTTATTGGTATTCATTCTAAAATTTCATAGTAACAGTAAATACATAAAGTAAAGCAAAATAAACGAAAATCTCGAAAAGGCAAACAGGTAGATTCCTTGAACCAATCTTACTCTTTGCAAACAAAAACTTTTCTTCTTTCTCGATCAAATCCCTCTCTTCCTTTTTTTAACAAACATGGTTGTCTAGAATAGCTTAGGCACACCTCAACTAATTTTCTCTCTTGTCCAGTCAAAAGTAGGTTATCCACACTGGGACTAGGGGACTCATAAGGGATGAATTCCTTATAGCCTGGCCTCAAGAAGTTGCCAAGATTCAATCAAATCTCTAAATAAATTGAATGGATTTGCAACCTAGTTGGGGGGATGTTTCCTCTGTTCATTTGCTTCAGTATTAGATCTGTCACTTGATTTTCGAACCTTCTAGTTGCTTGAAAGATTATGTTTGGAATTTGCTGAGTATATCTCCAAATGTCCTTCTGTATCGGCTCAATTTCTCACATTGAAGCTTTTGATCCCTTGTTTAGGGTTTCAATCAAATTACTAGAGTCGAATTCCACAATCACCTGCTGATATCTTTGCTCCAATGCCAAAGAACATACTCTTCTTACTGCATGACCTTTGCAATCAAAGGGGAGACCGTATTGAAGGTGCCACTGTTCCTGTTATCATACCACCTCTCTCATCTGTGGAATGAGTAAAAATAGTGAGGTAATTTTATGTGATTGTCTATAACATAAGGAAAAAAGGGTAAAAATTGTATAGCATTACTTTTCTTGGACCTTATTATCGGAGTGTCTACCAACGAGCGATTAGTTCAGTGGGTAAGAATTTAGATTTTCAAGCTCAATGTTTGGACTCAAGTCTCCATAGCTACGACAGTTCTTTGGGGCTAAGCCTACCTATAAAGTACGGATATTTCGTTGAGGTCAGCGTACCTGTATCGAATACGATACTCATCAGATACTTGAGGATAGGTATCGGATACACCTCTTATGTATCCGATAATAATTAAATATTAAGATACTTCACGGATATTTTTGTGTTAAAGCAATATATATAATTTTTGAATTGAATTTTTAATATTTTCTTTCGAATTCACATACCATACAATACATTTACAAAAATTCATACTACTTCAAAGGCATATGATGAGTATTTTGTAAATATTATCTACAATTACATGTCAAAAAAATATAAAATAAATCTATTATATTATAATTTTAGCAAAAATTAGTTGTAAATAAACCGACTCAGTAAATATTAGTTTTTATTCATTTAACTAATTACTTCACTTTGTGAATATACCATAGTAATACGATATACATTTTTTTGAAAATAAAAAGAATTACTAATTTTCTTTATTGTGTTAAAAAATTACCAAAATATATAAGTATTATGCTGGTTGAAAATAATAAAAATATTAAATATATTTTATTATAGCCGTATTTTGATCGTACTCGTATCCTATATTTTTAGATTTTTGTCGTATTGTCATATTCGTATCGTATCGTACCCGTATCTGTGCTTTATAGACGCCTACTCTTCACTGCACAGAGCACGCGATGGAACCTTAGTTTCGGCTTCAACGTAGCTGCGGTGTGGGGTCTTCTACAGATAGTTGTGTAGTGTTGAAGGGCAATGCTCTGTGGCAGATATGTGGAGTGATTTATCTTCATATCTATTTTATGCCTAAAAAAAAGTATCGGAGTGTCTCATAAGTAGACAACTGCAATCTAGCAGGGGTGCAACTTGGGAGGTTTGAAGATCAACCCTAGATATACAATTTTCAACCCTAACCCAACCTCAATCCGATGATTGTCCGAGTTGTTTTTATTGTTATATATTTATATAAATATAATACATGAACTCGAGTTAAGCCTAATTTTATCAATTCGGGTTGGGTTCGGGTTAAACTCGGGAACTGAAGTCTTGCCTGAATTCAATTTGGATTGAAGCTTTTCAACCTTAACCCTAAAAAGCTCAACTCTAGCACTATTTTTTTCAAGTTGGGTTCGGGTTGGCCCGCCCACTTTACATCCCGAATGAGAGGGATTGAAGCATGGTTCAAAGTACCAGGCCCAGTTGATACCGATATGAGTTGGCTGAGTCTTATCCAACTCGACACCTTCTAAGACGATATTGTTATATGATATGGATAAACTTCGAGACTCGCACTACTTGGCCAAGTCGTCTAAATTGTTTTTGAGTCAATCTCCAGTTATTGTTACTGAATCGGCCAGTCCGGTCTTGCGATGCTGCGGTATGACCTGAAAATCTCGTTATACTCAATATTTTCTTTTAGGTCATATTGCTCAATACCGTGATGTGACGACATCACTGATATGTCTCAGAACTCTTCGAATCGATGGCCACGTTACACTTTTAGGTCGTATTGTCCAATACCATGCCACGACGCCGTGACCAATGTGTCTCAGAGGTCTCCGAATCGATGGTCGATACTGCGATCTTGAATCATGGATTGATGGAGGAGTGAATCTCTTATCAGTGGTTAAGCCTGGGCAGCGGCTTTTAGCATAGCACCTAGCAGTATCACTTGGTCTTGATGCTGGTAACAATTCTATATGGGATAGCCCACACTATCCCTGTAAACATTTCTCCATTGATATAAATTGAGAGGGGCCTAGCAGGCAACTCTAAAATCATGGGTGCGTTGTGCCCACATTTGTTACTTATGGCTAGAGCGCTTAAAATTACTGGGGAAATCAACTAGATATGTTCTCATATAGTTATTCTTAGTGCAGTTACAAATCATAGAAAGTAATCACGTGTTCTTACGCCAATGTGTGATTGACGTAGTCAATCTTACTGGGGAAATCAACTAGATATGTTCTCATATAGTTATTCTTAGTGCAGTTACAAATCGTAGAAAGTAATCACGTGTTCTTACGCCAATGTGTGATTGACGTAGTCAATCTAAGAGTGATGCACAATTAATGTGTTTTAAAATGCTTTGCATGAATTGTTCATTATTACCCAAGTTTCTGACCTTTAACTAAAAACTGCTTATGAAACTTATTATGAAAATTTGTATTCTGTGCAGGAATTTTCTTAGTGCAAAACCGAGAGATCATTGAATAAACTTAAGAGTTATATCCATCAGATTAAAGAGCAAAACTGAAAGAAAAAATAACATTGTATCATTAGCACTCACTAGAATAGATTTGAACAAATTAAAGAGGCTTACTGATTTTTTATGGGCTTCAAAAAAGAGGAAAATGTAGAAGAGAAACTCTTCACACTGATTAGTGTGTTCTGTTTGGCTTGCAGATTGATGTGCATGTGGAGAAGCATGTATGAGTGCCACCAGGTCCAAATGCACATAGTTCAGCAGCTCAAATACCTCAATACCATTCCATCTACTGACCCTACATCTGAAATTCATCGGCAATCAACACTCCAACTTGAGCTTGAAGTTCAGCAATGGCACCTCTCTTTTTGCAACTTGGTGAAGGCTCAACGGGACTACATTCAGTCCCTCACTGGCTGGCTCCGGCTTAGCCTATTTCAGTTCAGCAATAAGCCGGTATCAAAAAACCAACAAGATGCTGCAATATACTCCCTTTGTGAAGAATGGCACCTTGCGGTCACCAATGCTCCGGACAAAGTAGCATCCGAGGGAATCAAGAACTTCTTAATGGGTATCCATGCCATTGTAATACAACAAGGAGAAGAGCAAAAGCAAAAGAAAAAGTCTGAAATGGCATTTAAAGATCTTGAGAAGAAAGTGGTTGAGCTCAGATCGCTGGAGTGCAAGTATGGCCCGTTTTCATTACCTGAAGCATCTAGCAGTACAAGAAGCAAGGACCCAGTAGGCGAGAAGCGAGCAAAGGTGGGTATTTTGAGGGCAAAGGCGGAGGACGAGAAGGCTAAGTATGACAAGTCAATCAGTGTAACAAGGTCAAAGACGCTGAACAATCTACAGATAGGGTTACCTCATGTCTTTCAGGCAGTGACCGGTTATGCCAATGTATGCACTAATGCATTTGAGTCTGTGTACAACCAAGGCAAAAGTACTGATGTGGTACACGATGTGAAGCGTATATTACCTTAAGAGGAGGTCCTCCTCACCATTTAGTCCAGGTGGGTAAATCCAGGAAAAGAGAGATATCACCAGTTAATATAGTTTCGATGTACAGATGTGTGCATACAGCTTTGGTATAGGAGATCCCAGAAAGCTTCTACGAGACTAGCATAGCACAGATTCACCTGCCTTTGCAGATCTATTTGAGCTGGAGACTGTGAAGAATGCAAAAGAGATGATTTACCTAATAGGAGTACCATTGGGGCCCTTTGTAAGGAATCATGCTGATCGGCTGCCGGAGGTAGAAGCCAGTAGAACTCACTGGGGGCAATATTTTCATCTGGTACAGCAGTGGTAGAAGTTTGAGACCCAAGTAGAACTAGGAGTTTTGAATTTGGGTTTATACTTTGTTTTGTAATGTTTCCTGTTCTAGTTTTGAGAAGTTTATATGAAAGTTTCGGTGGTTAACAAAATCCATTTATTTGCTGCCATCTATTTTTATGACCAGCCATTTATTAAAATTCTTGATGAAGAAACATCGAACATTGCCATCAAGAGTAATGCTTTTAAATGATTCGAACTGTTTTGAGTTCAATTTGTGTTAACATTGTCGAACTTCTAGGATGATGTTTTATGCTGGATTATACAAATTTTTGGTTGTTTTCATCAATCAATTAATCAATAAATTTTAAGACTAAGTTCAATTTCAGCACTACTTCCAAGTTTTTTTGTTTTTTTTTTAGTTTAAGATGTCAAAATCAAATTAAGAGTACCTTTATTAATCCCTTCTGATTCGGTCAAAAACAGGTTATCCACGCCGAAATTAAGATATTCATGAGAGATAAATTTCTCTTAGTCTGACATAATGAGTTATGAAGATTCAAACTCAGGACATCTGAGTTTAATCAACTTCTCACAAGCTTCTACTAAATTTGGCTCCAGCAAAAATATAGAGTCGGCTTTGGCTGCGTTTAAACATATTCAGGCTCGACAAACTTAGTTCCATTAAAGTCAATATTCAAGGGCTATATGCTGTCACTTCACAGTGGCACCAAACTTAATGGTCCAGCCAAAATCCATATTGTTCCATGAAACCAAAATATGGAACCTGACTTTACTTGAAGCTGATCACAAGAAAATACATCACCATAAACTAAGCTACTGCATGTACAAGTTACTTCCTGTGGATTCAATGTAGCAGATCTAGTGACTAGCCATGTACGAATTGATCCTTCTCAGCTTATGAACTAGAGAGGACAGAAAGCTTGCTATGCAACCAAGTCAATCGCTTCTCAACCCGTAGCGATAAGAATGTCTCCCTAGCATTTCGGTTGTTGAAGAGATCCAACGCAGTAAAATAAACTTGCGGATCAACGCTTTGCATGGCATCCAATGCTTTAACACAGTCAGATATAGAGAACCTTTCATTGCATTTCTGTATAGCAGCTGCCCTTAGCTTTGATGCAGCTGCCATTTCCAATATAGCATTTGCAATATTATCATCAATCCCTTTGCGACCCCTCTTTCGACAACCATCTCTTGAAGAGGTAGTCGATTGCAATTTGTCTGGCTCAACTGCCATACTGAAGTCTTCCTCTGAATCCGAAGAAGACTCCTTGAACGTGGTAAAATGTTCTGACCAAGGATTATTGGGAGTCCCCTCGTCTTGTTCAGCCAGCCCATTATACACCCCGTTTACGCCTGGTTCTGAAAATATTGTGCAAAGCTGTTTGTAAATTGGGCACCCCGTGCTTCTTACAGACTCAGCATCAGGATGTTCCTGAAAAGAATATCCCCCAGAAAATTTTACATATCGGATTGATGATAGATAGAGAATGTAATCTACTCCTAACTGGAGGAATGCTAAGCCCTTAATGCATCAACATACTACTAGAATACAAGCTAGATTAGAGTTTTTTTTGTCACAATATTATGGAGGTTTGGAGAATTGTAGGGGTCAAGCATGACAAAACCTCTGCTGCCCAGCCATGGGGTGAGAAGTGGTTCCTTTAGGTTTAGATCTTGTTCCTAAATAACGAGACACTAGAAACAAAGTGACATACCTTAATGTAATTGTCCCATGCTTCATCGTTAGCGATGATAACACCTGTGGGCTCATCCCATTTGAAATCACTTTGATCAAGAAGTGATTTAACGATAAGATATTGCTTCCTTAAGACAGCATAACGGTTCTTCAATTGCTCCTTGTCCCATTTAAGACCCGTTTTCATATAAAAGTCATCACATATATATTTCCATGCTTTTTTGCTGAAGGAATGGTTTTGTTTATTCTTCTTATGAACCTGGTCAACCATCAATTCTGCAAGTATCTTGGTAAGAGATGATGTCCATTTAGCCCTTGACTGTGGTTCTGGCTGCCCTGCAGGTGGTGGTCTCCTTGATCGAGTCGACCGGCTGGCCATCTACAAGTTCACCATGAAACCTTCTCAGTAAAAGAAAGCAGTCTTACCAAAAATTCTCGAAATCAGCTCGCACGTTTGCTAAAAGTCCAGAATTCTTATAATGCATTCAAAACAACGTTTGTCAACTTCTCTAAAGAAGCATCACAAAGCAGCCTTAATTATCTAAAATGCTGAGTCATATATAGTTTTCTAGTCTGCATTGACAAGTGAGGAAGCAACACTTTTTTCTACATCAGAAGACGTGAATGGTTGCAATCAAACAGAGAGCAGACAGATTTACTACCCACCCGCACAAGGTACAATCTCTTACAACTTTGCAAATCTCCAACATTCACGTTTCACAAAAAGATTTAAAAAATAACACGAGGGTCCCTTGTATTCACAATTCCGAACCCAACCTTGTATTTCTTTGAAAGCCTCAGCTTTTACGATCAAAAGAGGTCCAATTGTTTGCAATCTGTCCAATGCATGGGTTGTCAATTAACCCACAATAAAATAAATTCTCCTCCCTCGCCATAGGTTTTGCATGCACACAATATCACTTTGTAAGACTCAGAAAAATGCTAAGCACCAATCCTTCAAAAGTTATAAAATAAACTTTAAAAGAATGCCATTACCTGATACCGCCCACACATGGTGCTGGGTGGTGTAGACCGACGACTGACCTAAGTCCTAAAGTTTGGCGTATTGGCATACATACTTAGTCGAGGACTCACATTAGCGCCTCCATGCTTGAACGAAGCAACTAACCCTTCTGATCAGAAACTTTGAAATCACTTTCCAAACACGACATTAAATGGATAGGCAGGTGGCACTAATTGATCTTCCTCGGATTACAGCGATCATTGTGTTCTCTAACTAGGATTTAAATGAAATTTACAAGTGAATTAAATTAAAAGTCATGATTCAACAAACACTTTTCATGCAAAGTTTACAAAGCCGTCACTAAAATTATGAATCGTGGTTTAAACCCTAATTTCCAAACAAAGCTGAGTACTAGGTGATTATAAAGCTCTGATTACAATTTGAAACCGTACATTTGAAATTGGATATAGAACCCTAACTGTGCACAAGCCATCTCGAATCATAGAAGCGAAGGTTGGGGGGCAAACAGGAAAGAACAGAGAGAATAAAAGTAATTCACCTGAGAACCGTAATTCCGATGTAGAAGATCGTCACGGTGAACTCAACCTCCTTGCCGTCGGAGGATGATCGATTCCGACAAGAAAGGAAGGGTTTTACAGCAGATCATTTTTACATTTCCAAACAGCGCTCTTTGTGAGTAAGTATTGAGTGTATCGGTTCCATCACGTCAGCTTTGTTATACAGTCTCACCCATGCAATGCATGGGATTATAACCCATTATTTTTTTTTGTTATTTTTTCCTTATCATTTTTTTTTTCTTATTCTTATATTTGAAAAGTTAGATATAAAATTATTAGGTAATAAAAATAATTTCTTAAATAAATTTAAATAAATGATGAATAGTTAATAGGGATAGAGATGGGAAGTTAGTTAAAAATAACATGAGTAAAACTATTATTTGAAGAAATTTTTAAAATTTAATTAAATCTATATAATAAAATATAACATTAAAAATGACTTATTTTTGCTTAATATCGTTTTAAATTTTACTTTAAAGTTACTTAGATAAATTATATTAATTTTTTCAAAATTAAAAATAAATAAATAAATAAGATCCTAAGAGTGTTTAAATGACTTTTCAAATATATTTATATAATTTATGACTTTTCATAAGAATTTTTAAAAAATAACTTTTGGAACAATTTATTTTAATTACTTCCAAAAATAGTCAAAAATAATTTTATCACTTTAATAAATAAGTAAAAATTTTAAAAAAAAATAATTTTTTAACTTTTTTAAATAATTTCTCTATAAAACATTTCACCATCACCACCGCTGCCACCCCCACCACCACAAAACACCACCACCATCACCATCACCCACCACCGATTGGTACCACCACCACCCACCTCTACACAATAGCAAAGAGGAAAATGCTCTAGCTTTCCGTCTGAGTTTTGGCACCGACTTTTTGAGCACATACTCAAGTAACTCATGTAGAAAGTTCAGAAACAATTTTGATGTCAAAGATGAAATACCCATCTCTTCTCACTCTGCTTGTAATAACCTCATTTAGACAAAAAAGAAAAGGCACAAAATCATCACCACCCACCACCCCGGGCAGGGGGGCGGAAAGGCACGGCACAGAGTCTTTGAAGATGACATGCATTGCAAAAGGGCATTAGCAGAATTTTTTGACATAAAAAATACAGGGAAAAACAGAGGCGTTGAATGAGTTATTTACACAATATACAAATGAGAGGGAGCATATCTAGGCCAAGCCGCGTTTCCCACTTCATCACCTACAACTTACCAATCTTCAATTTCATCATCAGAAGTCTCAATGTTTGTATCATCCAAAGTGATGCTACCAAAATCTTCATCCACAACCACGTTGCCCTCCATCAGTGCCCGGTTGGCTTCACAATTCTCAGATGCTCTATAACCAAGCCATTTAAGGATAGGTTTCCACTCCATAGCAATAACCGAAAGATCAGAAAAGTTCAGGCCATTATAAGCAACACACCTCTGGCTCACCATGTCATCCTGCATTCCCATCCAAATTCAGGTGAGGTAATCATAATGGTCATACATACAGATTGTAACTAGCCAGGCGAAGATCAAACCAGATTACAATTTATTTGGACATCATTGCCAAAGTAAATTGGAAGTCAAATAAATTGCTTCAACAATTCCTGTCAACTGTGATAATAAGGACTGTAGTAATCTAGCTTAAAAGGGCAGTTTCATCGAGGAAAACAAAATCATGACTAGAGATAATTTTCATGCAGTGATCCCAAAATCAAACAATGTACCTCACGTGATTTTCTATGCATTTCAGAAAAAGATCTATCACTCCAAAATATGCAGCATAATTATATTAGTTACTTCTACAACTACTAACAGGGAATTCTGAGGAACATAGGCCCAAACAGGCGAAAGAGATCGCTCTACGAAGCCCCTTCAAGCCATCACCAGAAAACTTATTAGCAACACGGCTTCACAAAATATTCTCATTTATTCTGCAATTTTGAAGGTACTTTTTTCAGGGTGCACTTAGAAATATTCACTTCCACATTTGAATGGAAACAGCATTTAGATTTGTCAGGAACATAAGGCAATAATTCAAAAACCAAAGACAGTGATCGCAGAAGAAATTTGACAGCATGAAACCAACCTTGTTGTGCCGTAATGATTGCTCAATCTGCCAAAGTTTTGGCCGGCGAATAGCATGCCACCTAAATGGTCAGAAGAATGTGGGACAATTCTCAACAGAATCATAATTGAAACGATTTTTTTTAAAAAAAAATAACAAGATTACTAAATCATACCTGGAAGACAATGGATGAGAATTCCCAAATAATACACCACGCACAGAAACTGAAGCAGCAGCAGATTGTACAACATTCTCTGCCTCAAAGTTTCTAGTTTGCATTCCACTAAGTGAAGTAAGAAGGAAGTCAGCGTCACTTAGATAAGAAGCCATGACCCATGCATCATCTATCGCTTCCTCACTCAGAAAATCTAGAACTGCATTAGAATTGAAAATGAGAACCACAGAATGTTAAAACTGCCCATGAATCAATTTAACAACAAAATTTTCACATTATCTCTCATCGTGTGCATAAACCCAAGTGCATACTTATACTTCTGACTTTGATATCTTACTCTCTACTCTTTTTTCTTTTAAAATCTCCTGATTCCAAGCCTATTTTCCATCTTTGCAAGATGGCTTTAATCTAGTGGCAAGCAGGCAGTTCAAACACTTAAATTAAGGAATTGTACCTTAGACTATTTTTGACAGTGATTCTTTTCTTTCAAGCAGAGAAAAATGACTTACTAAAGAATCATATGGAGAAATGCACAATCCACCAACGCAAAAACCTCTTTTACTCTACACATTTATTGGAAACCCCTGTGCCAACGTCTACGACTGACAACAAAACCAAGTGAAGGAGTTATCCTGGGAAAAAAAAATCAAGATCCTCTGATAAAATGCCTCCTCCAGACTTTCTAGGTTAAATGTGTCTTGCTTCTCCACCATAGGCATGGTGAATTGGACCATGGCTTTCACAAGTTTCCTGAATTAGTTCCCAAAATATAAGATCATCTTGCAAGTGTCAATTGGCCAATCAATCCAAGCTTGATGAACTTGGATTGTTCAAGATTATGCAAAATCTGAAAGATATTTGTTTCCAATTCTGCACTTTCATAAAACTGGGGTACGTTAGGGAAACAACATACTAGCTTTTTCGACAAGCTTTGGTCATTGAATCAAGCTATCATGAGAACAGGCAAACATAACCAACAGCCATTAGGTAATAGGCAAATCACATTTCACTATTGTTTTTGAAAGGCCACCTTTAATTTTTTAAGCTAAGCTTGGATATGGCTTCAACTTAGCCAAATTGTTATATCAAACCACGACCACTACCCCAAAGTTGAATGTACGTGTGTGTGTGAGAGAGAGAGAGAGAGAGAGAGAGAGCAATGAATTTCCAATAACATTATGTTCAAATTATATGATTTTATAAGTATAGGAACAAATTTTATCCATTTAAGAACCCAATGCTTATTGCTTATGCAATGGTATAATGATTCACAATTAAATCAAACCTTCAACAAATAGTGTTCATCCCATTTCCTCATTCAGAAATCAAAATAATTCACTTATCCAGAAATCACAAAAATTCACATCATAAAGCATTCACATGGCATATATAATATGATAAGTAGAGAACAGCCCTCGAGTTAGCACAACACGACACAAATGGAAAAGTGAGTGGAGACACATTACCATTTTCATGTAGAAAATCGGCAATAGGTCTCGCTTGTCCATGTGCCTGACAGAGAACCTTTTCTGGAGCATCCATTTTCAGAGGTAATCTCACATATCTTTCCCTCAAACGAACCGCATCTTTGTCCACTACAAAATAGCAACGAGCTTAAACAATAAGGTTATAGCAATGATTAAAAAAACTGAAAATAAGCTAGAAAAGGAAGATGTACAAGTAATGTTTTAAGCATTTGGCAACAGCAGTTCGCATCTCAGTTTACAAGTAGATAAAGATGAGCTCAAAATTGACTACTGAGGGTAGATTCTAAACAACTACACATAGAACAAGAACTTTTGACGTGATGTCCTTCATGAACCCCTGGAAAAAAATCATTCTTTTTTTCTGCGAAAGGGCAGAAGAATGGGACCTAAAATGGAACACGCAATGTGTTACAGGCGTATGATCATTACGATGCAACTGGGTCATTCTATTCCACATCTTAGAAAGAAAAAAACTCAAATCAAATTGACAGCACAGTGATACATTTATACAAAACTTCTATCCTAAGAACAGCCAATGGAGTCACAAATGAAATCCAATCTGTGAACCATTTAATCTACTGAAAGCATCGTTACGGTAGATATCATAATGCTTGAATTGTAAAGGAAGTGGCATTCAAATACCATACTTGAAGATTCCTTGGAGATTTCCTTTCATTGTAGTCCAAAAGATGGTTGCAGTTACACAAGTGAAATATTTGGAAACAGCATCCATCTACTTTTCTTCTCTAACTGACAATACCATGCTCTATAACAATCGGGCATCTTATTGTTCAAGCAAGTGGTGTGTGTCTCAAAGAAAATGTTCAGTAAGCAAACAATAATACTCCTCTTGTAGGCACAGTTCCATTTTGTTTCAATAGCCTTTTACGGCAAAAGGGATTTTGTCATCTCATACAAAACCTACCAAAGTATTGTCACAACTTTTGTCATCTCATGAACTCAAAAAGATGAGAATATTATTAGCAACAGTTGAGAAAAGCAATAAAGCATTTGGTTTGCAAACGCAACGAAGTCATTGCAAAAAATGAGGTCAATTTGGATAGTCATGCCACCCAAAACATGCAAAAAGTAAATGAGTTACCTAATCTAGCCAATATTAGGCAACTCTACTGGCAGTACCTAACTTTTCGCATGTAGAAGAACATAACCAAACTGCTGATATCAAGAATAACACTATCACTCAGCTTTGTCATGGCACATAACTAAAACTCACATTGCAAGTTCATTCAAGATGTACCTGATGCAATGGAAACATCAGTCTCTCTTTTATTGTGTAGAAATTTTCCCAAGGCATGAAATAAAGAGAGTGTTTCGTCTCTGCCAAATGGTAAAGAAAATCCATCATTGAAACTATTGATTTCATCTGA